AATATGTGCCCCGCCTTACACCTCTTCCTCTACTTTCACTCCACTGCACAGAAGGAACACATGAACAATAAAAAAGACTCAAGAGGCTGTATGTAATTATAAATGACCTCCACCGGGACATCGTTTATCTGTGTGCCCAGACACAAGAGCACCAAAGCAAATGTGGCCTTTGTGGATAATAAAAAGTGATAGTGGATTTATTCTTATATATAAAAACATGTTGTGAAACATAACATTTCCGATCCAATAAAAATAAAAATATGAGTACCCCTTATTTTGGTTTTCAGTTTATTTGGGGAAATTGATCTGGTTTGGTCAGAGTCTGCATCATAATTGGAACTGGAGCAGTCGCTACATGTTTGTCTGCTTAATATGCAGATATTACAAGGCAATTGTAAGTGCTTAATCAAAACAGTGAAAGAAAGAATCATTTACAGAATTTCTCTCTCTCCTTTGTCTAACTGCTCCTCAGTGTGGAGTTTGCATGTTCTCCTGCTGTTCTGGTTGAAAAAATTAGAGTGTTCAAAGCAAGCCTGGTCGCCTGAATACCGCAGCTAGGAATAATGGAATAGGGTTGTGGGTTACACTGTTATTTTTGTCAATCTACTGAATATACTGGCCATTTGAAGACCAGGTTATGCGTTAACTATTATTTCTACAATTAGCAGTTGGAAAAAAATCATTGGAATCATCATCTGTAAATGTGTTTTAAGGCTCCATCTCATACTGCTTTCCTGTTTGACAACACGGGACAATCAAAAGAAATCAGTGGAGCTATCAAGAAGAGTATTGTGCATCTCCACATTGTCAGCCATCACACCACTCAGGAGGAGACAGGTGTTGTGTCTCAGATGAGCAAGTTTGGTCCAAAATGTGTAAATAAACCCCAGGACAAAAGCTTGTGAAGATGTTGGTTGAAGCTGCTAAGAACGTGTGATTATCTAAAGTAAAATGAGTTCTGTGCAAACGCTACTCAGCAATTACTCCAAAAGAAACATTAACAGATTACATTTTTCGATATTCACACAACCAAGGCCATAAAGGCTTGAAGTTTATAAGCCAAAGAATATCCTCCCAACTCTGATTTCAATACCACAGTTCTGTCCGTGTGAGAACAAGGCGGTCTACAAACATGACTCGGATAAACATCGATACTGTGAAAGGATCCCAGAAATGTTCAGAGCTCAAAAATATTCCTAAAACAAAAAAATGTACGTAAAAAGTAAATAAAAGTGTGCATATTCAAGCCACACATTGTGAAAGTGAATGAAAAGAGATAAAAGGCATGTGCCATCCATCACTGGCTCATATTTTAATCTTCTGCCATTGCTATACCACTTGATTGATTCATCTTAACTTTAATGCAGTTAATTGAGAAAAGCTGAGATTTGATCTTCGGAGCTGTCAATTTTAAAAAGTGAGATTAAAATCATTACGTTATGTGTCCTTTTAACAAGGTGCATGTGCTCCCAGTTTCCCCTGTGAGAAAATGTAACTCCATTTAATTGTGCTCAAATACCAGAAGACATCTGGTATGGACCTTTCATAAGACAGTGTCCTCCAATCCAGCTGCCAGAAAAAGGTTTAAGAAAGGTTCACTTTATTATTTTGTGCTGAAACTATGCTGCAGTATTGATGCTAAAGGATACATAGGGGAAAGAAGTAATACAAGTAATATGTTTTGAGTGTGCCATCTGTCAAGAAGCAGACAGAAACGGAACCAAAAACAGGAGCCTGTGGTTTTTAAATAATTTATGCTTGGGTTTATACTAGTGCTGTCCAACGATTAAAATATTTAATTGCAATTAATCGCATGAATTTCATAGTTAACTCGCGATTAATCGCAAATTAGTCACCCATTTGCGTGCTGTGTGCAATTGCTTTTTTTATTGAAAACAATGTGTAGTGTTATATTACACACTAACATTTGATGCAAAATCATCAATAAATGGATGACAAAATAAATAATTGGTAACAAAAAGCCCCTTCAATGTGTGTGTGTGTGTGTGGAGTGTGTGTGTTTATGGGTGTGGGTGTGTGTGTGGGTGTGTGTGTGTATGTGTGGGTATAGACCATAGACTGTATAGAAACATCATGGTGTCATTATGATGATGATAAACAATTTTTTTGTAAATTTGTTCATGTAAATACTCTATGCTGTTTCTCTGTTTACTTTCGGTATATCTATGACTGTATACTGTTTGCTTGTATTGTCTTTTTTATTAACCCCTCCCCCCCATCTCCCACTTCATGTCCCCCCCCCCTCCTATGTGCCCTTCTGGGTTTCTTCTTTGGCCCCCTGTATCTCCCCCTACATATTGTTTGTAATCTCTGTCTACAATGTATCTTAACTAGTCCTTTTCTTTGTGTCTATTTTTTTTTCTGTATATTTGTTTGTCTGCAATAAAAAGTAAAAAAAAAAAAAAAAAAAAAAAATGTTTTTTCTTTTTTTTTTTTATAATTATAAAAAAAATTAATGGCGATAAAAAAAATGACGCCGTTAATATTGATTTGCGTTAACGCGTTAATAACGCGATATTTTGGACAGCACTAGTTTATACTAATATTTCGTATTGTATTGCGATTTCATTTTTCTATAGATTACAATGTTAGAAGACAGGAATCTCAGCTCAAGCCTCGTCCTCATAAACAAAGAGAAACACAGGAGCTGCAGGCTGTTTGATCAGGAGCAGTCTCCCCACATGTCTGAGAATAACAATGGTCTCACAATGTACACAGTGGTTTTCACATATACAATATGAGGCTGTTGATGTTAAGATGCTCATGTGACTGAAAGCTCTCGGTTACAGGACCAGGGAAGGACTAACGGCAACAAATCAACCCTCTACTAACTATACCTATGTTGACTATGAATTCACAGAGATTTTAAAGGTAAATTTATCCATCACTATATACTAATGGTATTAAGGGGAAGAAAATGGATGGATGGATTCCATAGCAGTAACATTGTGACACTGAAATTAGCCATAATTTGTGTCGGCATCAAATAAAATGTAACAAACTGATCATTTATGACCAAACCTTATCTAATAAACATTATTTTCATTATGAAAAATATCACAGAGAAAAGAAATTATTAGAAACTCCCAAATAGAAAACAAATTAGATTCAGATTCCCAGAGCTCCCAGAGTTCCAGAGATAAAAATGGAACAAGGGCCACAGAGGTTTAAGTGTAGTTTATTTATGAGTGTTGAAGCTACATACACACAAACACAGTGTACATGTCGAGCCCCAACAGCCGACAGCAGTAGTCAAATCTGAGTCTATCGTTTCACCAAAAGCTTTGGTTTCAGCAAAACCAAAGGCAAGACCCCACATTAGGAGTGTCTGAACTTCTTGTACAAGGGGGGCCCAATGTAAAGCTCTCAGAACCATCCAAATTTGGGAGAATTTTGTTAAGATTAGTGAGAGCCACCAGACACTGCGGGACACACGAAAAGACTTGAAATAGAATAGGATCAGGAAAAAAGGTCATAACATTCACTTAAATAAAACAAAACACTGCTTGTAGCGACTTTAGAGCCAAGAAAAAAGCATAGAGGGATGCAAAGGACTTGCTTGCCATATGATTGTGTCCAGTCATGACAGTTTATCTTATCAAACAACACTGGAACAGGACAAAGCGGTTTCATAGGTGGATATTCATATGCATTAAAAGCATCAACTATTCTACCAGAACCACGGCTCAGAGGGCTTTGGTGCTTGCATAGTCCAGAGGCATGCTGCAAGGCAGCTCAGCCACAACAGAACAACAGACACAACAGAGACAACAGAAATAGATGTAGCAAGAGTTTATGATCCAAAAGAAAACATTTGGTTATGATTATTTTTATATAATAATGATTTATTATAAGGTTTAAAATATTTATGCCAAATCAAAAGAGACAAAGCTGGCAACTTGAAGAAATATGGAGGGCCAACACAAATCCGGGCCACTTGTCCCATTTGCAGCTGCTGTCACACGTCGCAAGGCATGGAGAATGGCTCCAGTCCTATTGCCACAATGGACTCTTCTACCTCTGTGTGCACAACACAAGCCTTCTGGGAATAGGCTGGATATGATCAGCACAAAACACAACTGTGCAGATGGACTGTGCATGTGACTTCAGAACGTGAATGAAAACGCCAGAAAAAGGAAGATGGAGAGAGCCAAAAGAGATACTGTATATGCAGGAGTGAGTTGTAGGCAGAAGCTTATAGACTGCAGTAAGTGGTTATTGATTGAAAGACATGGTCCAGAGCATTTTGTGGCTTACACACAGGAAGTCATTCTTATTTTGCCTATGGCTAGTTACAAAATGGGGTCCTAGGATTATATGTGTCTTGTGTATGTCATGCTGTGAAGCCTCACAGATGATAAAATGTAATTTAAGATAAGTTATCCAACGTATTTGCCTGGTTCTTTCAGCACTATTTAACTGAAGACATGCGAAAGACAAATGCTATGAGTCTACTCTGAAAGTAATGATTAATTGGCTAATGGTTTTGATCAATATTGAAGCTAATAGAGCATTATTGCACTGCAAATGCTAAAAGGAAGCAAAGCAAGTTAAAAGCTGCAATAAGAAATCAAACTAGGCATCAAACCCAAACAGCCTAAACATTAAACACTTAACACTTACAAAATTTAAACAGTAGTAAATTGTTGACAAGCATAACTAAATTAGTCCGTGCAGATTATCCTTCCAAGAGTCACCCGTATTCTCAATCTCCCCAAACGAATTATTCATTCACTAATTAGGCGAAACATCGTGATCCGTGCACATGTCCCCTTGAACTGTCCCATTGCAGTTTTTGACGTTAGACGCCACGTGTTCAAATACAACGCAAGCCTATTTTCAGCTGTACTTGTGGTCATTGGTTGTAAACTGTACGGGGCGTCCATAGCACACTTACTACAGCACTACATATGGCTATGAATTAACGTTAATAACATGCGATTCACCATTTTGCCACAAATATTAAGCTTATTGCTTACCATTTGAAGGGAGCTCATTATTTCCATGCGTAAAGACTGCGTCTTGTTGTTCGGACCGTTCGCGACACTGTGGCGCGCTGGACGTGACACTCGCAATTTTAACTCAGTTTTTCCATCCGAGTGATCCACATTGAAAATCCCCACAACTTCCAAAGTATGTGAAGGTTTGTAATCTCAGAGGTAACTACGTAATATCCAAGACGCCTCGCTCAAGTGTCGTAGCACTCGTCATTATCCCAGAGCTATCGTCGAGTGCACGGCTGCAGTCCTGGCTTCACGCGCACACGGAGGATCAGAGCTGACCGACTGATGCACCAGCCTTGCTTCTCACACGCACACGCACACACCTACACTCGCGCACACAACCAGGCTTGTGCGATAATCTGTGCGTAACTGCGCATGGAACAAGGCAGAGAGAAGCCCGGTCATTTGGGACAGCGGTTCTCAGCAGTAGCCAGCGACAGACGGGCTCCCTGAGGGGGCATCCCAAGGTCGATAGAAGCACAGTACAACCACACATGCCACAAATAGCTGTTTGGAGGACTTAAAAGTGAAGCAAATATTAAAACACAAGTTCTCACACCATGTGTTTGGCACAGAAGTTGGACTTGGCAAACTGACCATCGTGGAAAAGCTGTCAATCACTTTCTCTGCAGATGTCAAATGACACCGCCCCTTCTGTGGAGAATTAAGTTTTCTGTGACACAGCATTTAAAGATCAGTGTTGCAAAATCAGTATAATGACTGGCTTTCCTCCTTTCAGGGAGGTTTTTGTGCATCACCTTGTAAGCCCATGATGTATGAGAGTGATTTGTAAACATTTAGTACTACCCTATAAATGAATCAAGTGAAGCAATGGGCTGTAATAGAGAAATAGGTCATAAATGTATGCATTATATACAAACTGAAGATGGTTAGGTATAGGAAACAAATGTGATAACAAAAGACAACAAACCAATACTGTCTGCAGTTTGTTTGGCTGTGTTCTGTGGGTGGTGTGAAGTGAGTCCAGTGATGCAGCAGATGACATGTGGGAGTATGAAGATGGAGGAGAGAGTCATCTGTGGGCAGCCTCAGCTATCACAGCAGCAGCTATGGTTCATCTCATTGGTCCAAGATCACACCTATAGCAGCAGCTTCAGTAGGAACAGAGCACCATAACGGCCCTAAAGATCAGCCATTGTTTCATTCATGTTATCCTCTCTTACAGGGTGGGGAGAAGTGTGCAACAAAAATAAGATGAGCCTTGATACCTCTGGATTAAGAGCTGTAAATATCCACTTAATCAGATTAGCTTTCATCAGCAACAAGCTATAGGGGTATGGAGCACTGTGTTATTACCAAATATATAGGAACAATGGTGTGTGAGGCTGTGCCAAAAAAAAAAGGACACCAAAAATGATAAAATCATAATTTGGCAATTACTATGGGTTAAGGTAAACTTCAAATAAGGAGAATACAAATTAATAATTTAACTATCTTACATACCACAGACAATTGTGAACTGGGAGTGTATAAAGTTTAGCGTAGGTTCAAGCAAACTGATCACTATATTGTTGATCATGATTTCAATGTATATTCATGTCATAACTACTTAACATTTAGCAAAATATGATTCAACCTATGCATGATTGCATTTTGAAGATTTTGTAACTTTTGCCTTTAGGGGGAAGTTAGTCACCATTTCTGTGAAACTGGCCTTCTATCCTCTGTAGTATAAAAAAATGTTTATATTGTGTTCAGATAAGATTTAAAAAAACTTATCTGTCCCTCAATAGAGAAATTTCAATGTCATTGTGCAGTTCTTCATACCCAAGCTGGCCTTGTAACGCCTCATAACATGTCACTGTGAGGAGTTATAAAGACCAGAGGGCCTGACAAGACTTGTTCGACAAACATGTTTTGGTTTTGTCATCAAACATGACTTACATGTTACATCACCATTTGTTTCACCACAGGGTCCGCTCCTACTTTAGAGTGTCTGATGATACATTTCTCATCATAATTTCCCTTGATTGTCTATATCTCCCAACAGGTACTCAACAACTGAGTCAGTTTCTAAATTGTTCCCCATTTGTTAGACAGCATGAGGAGTTGCAACACCTTGTGACTGATCAATGAGTGTGTGTCTAGAGCTTCTGGGGTTAATGAGGGTCTCTAAACCACTACGCCAGTCATAGTGAACAGGTCTACATGAAATCCCCAGACTCTCCACGAGCAAAGATAATAAGGATTAACCTATTTGACTTCTGCTAATGCCACGATTGAAAGCACCCACTGACATACTGTATCGACACCTGTCAAGTCTGAGCCCTAAACAACCTGATAGAAAGGGATTGTCAAAGCTTTTCCAATGTTTAGGTCAGGACAATACAACTGTTTTTCAAAAAGGGCCAGATACAGTATTTGGGGGCTTATAGGGCTTGGTGTTGCACAAATTATAAGATATGATAAACTTTGTTGATCTCACAATGAAGAAATGTACATGCCGCATTTGGCTTAGTATCACTCAGATTGTGCAAAAAGACATGAAGTGTGCAACATGTTATAGGTTAAAAATATAGTATAGTATGTGCAATAAAAAAGTGGCTATAGCAGTGCTGGTTTTTCAGTCCTAGTGAAGGTCATTAGTAGCCTGGTCGTACCACACCATAGTACAAATTACATTTCGTACTAAGGTCTGGATGTGCTCCATTGAGCTCCATTTACAGGTGGAAGGGGCTAACTCCTTTTGCAGATTGAAACAATTGGATCTGAGTTTACCGTGACGTATGTAATGCGCCCGAGTGAGTCGTTAGCATTTAGCCTAGCCATCTCCTTTGCCTCTAACGGAGCCCGTGGGGAGTAGCGCCACATTTTTTGCCAGCGATTACATTTGCTAAACATTCCTCTTGCTCTGGCTTCAATTTCTTGATAGAATCAAACCGGATTACTTTACTATCGCATTCTTCGCCATAGCCAAACTACAACCTGCCCGTTCGATGCAAACTCTTGACGTCACCGGCACCGATCTACAACACCAGCACTCTGATTGGTCAGTTGAAATTCAAGCGATTGTAAACGCTAACACAGGGACCAGACCCAGACGTTACATGCAGGGAAATGATGATTGACCGGAGTGTACGGATGGCTAAGGCCAGGCTAGGTCAATAGTGACTTAAAGTACAGTCTGACAGCGGTGGGGTTAATTAAACTTCATATTTCTCAGTGTTAAATTAATCACATGAAACGTCATACAATGTCCTTTGTTCTAATGAGTGAGTTTGTGACCCCTGGATGACATCAGCCATCTGGAGAGTTGCTCCTAGTAAAGACAGTGGCTGTTTTGTGGAGTGTTTGGGGGTCTAAACTGCTCCGTCATGCCTCTCAGCACCTTGTGTAAAAAAACAGCCTCTTTGGAGCACCGCTGGCCCCTATATTACACCTCTTGCTTCTTCAGCTGGCCCCCAAAACTGGAATTCCCCACGGACCCTCTGGCTGCAAGCTTTCCACAACAACACAAAACATTACATACATTTAACGAGCCAGGAATCCATCACGTGCGAATGTATGACAAGCATGTTGTTTTACGTATACAGTAACAATGAATAATACAGGCTTATGAGAGATGCATGAAATGTGAGGTCAAATGTACAAATCTGCAAAGTCAAGCAATATCAAGAATATTACACAAACGTTCACCTATAGACTTAAACAAAGACTTAATTTCAAGCTCCAAACCTCATCTTGCAATGATCACAGTATGTTCAGATCAACAAGAAAAAGGTGTAATTATTAAGCTTGATTTAGAAATTTGTGTTCCAAGGTGGCAAATCCATGAGTGCCAACAACATCACCACTCTGCCCTGTCAGGTATTTGGACCTTGCTCACGTCTCATGAATGCTGTTTTTCAAAGGAAACTAGCCCAACCCACAACATCCAACTTGTTCCTATTCAGACAGTGAGTCCATTCAGTCCAGTGGTGCCGCTCGTAACTGTTACATTGGCTCAAGCTGGTGGAGACTGGGACATACAGGGGGTTTAATCTGACTCCAGCGTGCAGCCTATTCAAGTTAAGAAAGACGGCACTGCAAATGACTGAGATGCTTCCACATGAACCATAATGTATGTGGTAACCAGAAGTCATTAGCAAATAGCAACGGTCTTATGTATTATTTGCAGGTTGTAGCAGTGGAAATCATTTTGAATTAGACCTTTCTACTGTGGATCCTCTGTGTAAAGATGTTAGAACAAGTGCAGATCTAAGCTTTATGTAATTCCTGGGCTTAAGCCGTACAGTGTGCTGCAGTAAACCTAATCAAATATTTACTCTCACACTTGGCACATGCACGCAGACGGGGGGCGCAGTGTGGAACCACCTAAACCGCTGTTTAACAGAAACGCCACTGATATGATGTGTATAAAACAGCATGTGCCGTTAGTTTTAGCATTCCTTCTACACTGAGCAAAGATCTGGTCTGACTGAGATGGCCCAGTAAGACCAGCTAAGCCAACAGGAGCTTTAGCTGATTGCAACCTGAAGAAGGTGTACATGTTTTTCATAAAGAAACAAGTCAGTTCTGTATTTGCATTTCTCAAATCTTTACTTTCTGCCTGATGACCCAAAATCATCATCTCAAAATGCCAAATAATATTGCAATACAACTCCTTCTGAAAACATCCGGTGCGTCACAAAAAAAAAACAAAAAACATTACATTGTCTAATCATAGAAAAATATCAAATGCAGCTAAAAATCTTCATCAATTTAAATTCTGCCACCCACTTTACTGTATTTACATATTAAACAAGATTATGTGGGTTAAAAAATAATTGTTAATTGGTATGCGCATAATAAATCACGGAAATGGTCCAATGGGAACAAATCATAGCAGTCAGATTATTTTTGCCAACTCATCATTTGAGGGGTCCTAAACTGCTTCTCAATACAATTTTCAGATCCAGGTCAGCTTTTTAGGAAAGAGGAGCGCCACCGCAGATGACAATAAAAACACTTAAGACAGAATCAGTGATGGCAAATTGGAGCTGCCCCACTCCAGCCATCCATGATATAAATGCAGATAGATAAAATAGTTTTTTTTTTTTTTTGTGACACACCGGATGCCTTTAGACAAGATAAGATAAGATGAGATAGACCTGAACTCAGACAGACCACTCAAAATATTGCTAGTATAAAGTCAAGTTTTAGAGGTTCTTTCCATTGGACTTCTTTACTGTGCAGTGTAGAGAATGTGTCCAACCATCCTAGGCATGGCCCAAGCTAAGTTTAGGGCTCGGGAGCGTGTGAGAGGTCACACAGTGTCCAGGGGCGTCTCCACAGGAGATCTCGCCATGCTCCCCAGCTGTGCTACGACATTCATTTGAGTTCAAGAAATTACTAGATTAAAAATAACATTGTTTGTTTTTGATGTATATGATTGAGCCATTTGT